TTTTCTCTGTATTTCAAATGTAAGAAATCGTCAATATTTTGTGAAACAAAAATTGATTTTATTTTTTACGGTTTATCAACCCTTAAAGCTATATTTAGCTGTCCCCCCCACGAGGGGTCGCATGTGGCACAAGGCCGAGTTTTACGTGGTCACCCGAGCCCGTAGGCCCGGCCAAAAATATAGCCTTCGACCCGCCCAGGCGGGTTCGAGAGCTGTCATAACCTCCCCGAACGAAACCTTGCCCTTCGGCAAAGCTTCGTCCGGGTTCCTCTCTGCGTTAGCAGAGAGTTAGACAGACGGCGGTTGCTGTAACTTTAATACAGCTAATAGTTATTTCCAAGCATAGCTTAGATGTGGCACAAGGCCGAAAGTAAAGCAGAAACATATTTTCGAATGCAAGGATTATTCTTTTTAGCAAGTGAATATTTATTTATTTATTTTTTTATAATAACAATGATTTTCCATATTCATGTCCTATTATTTAAAACATAGCTGGTGGAGAAAATGGGTTCATACCTTTCCCAATGTTATTTGCACGAAAGAGAAGGAAACGAACCCGAATGGAATTCGAGCACAGCTCTCCGATTTCTTATTGCTAAATGTTATCCATTACACCACCCGCACATCCACATCCATTTCCGCGTAAGACTTCCCTGAACAGCATAATCTTAACCACTTCAAGTTAATTGTCAATCGTTATTAGTATTCCTTATCTTCATACTCTTCAATTTTTCCAACTCCTCTTACGTTCATATCACACACCGTCGTCATCTTTACCATTTAACAGTAACCCTCTATCATGGGTGATGCTTATGGGTTGCTCTGGGTGAATCTTCAGTACATAGATTGAGCTGATAGTTGCGGATGAAGAAAAACGGGTGGTATCGTCCAATGCAGATTCCCGTGTGCCGTGTCACTTCAAAATACAGACGATCAAGGCCCACCACATCTTCTCCTCCCTTGTAGCTCTTAATAACTTTTTGCGTTTTTGTTATTTCTCCCAAAACCCTGTTCCGTCATCCATTTACTCAAGCTCACCAAGTAGGTTACGCGCTGTTTTCTTCTGTCCCTATTTCACTCAATCTGTCCTTTGAGTATCAAATTTCCCAAGCCCTCTTTCCTCATTACTTGCCTCAGAAATTACAACTACCTCTTCTTGATGTTAAGTTTAAGTTCCCTTTTTCTTTCCATTTTGTCCAAAATCTTGTCGTTGCTCACCTGTTCGGATCATTGTAAGCTCAACATTATTCTGTAGAACCACATTTCTGTTGCTTCAAGTCTCTTCTCCATCTTTAAGGAGGTTGTCCAGCATTCGCTGCCATAGAGCAAGAAATATATCACTAAATAGTTAAATATTATTTGATTTGTTTCTAACGAAATTTCCCTGAATTAATTCGGTAAGCGACAAAAAAGAGAGGAAAAGTATTTAGATGGGTTTGCTGCCACCGTAAACTACGACTGGAAGTGTAAGAATAGCAAGACCTTGACAGATAACTGAAAAGCCCGTATGAAATCATTGAGATGCATAAAGAAGCGAAGACGTACAGAAAACTGCCTTATTAAATCGATAAGAATACTGAGGAGAGTGCTTGAGTATTAAAAATGGCCAGTGTTTTTTGATCTACCTAAAAAAAACTGTTGGGAACCACTGTGTGAAAATCAATATAAAAAGAGGAAAATATGAACGAATTATAAAGAGATAACTGCATTTTATGGATATCATGGCATGCTGCGAAAAGTGCTATTGATTTGTTCTTTAATCAACTCACCCCAAGCAAGGCAATAACGCCACCAAGACGCAAAGGGCAACTGGAATTGAAAGAGAAGGAAAAGACTTCAGAATGAACCGGAGACTAAGACTTCAATAGAAAACAAGAGACAAACCCCTACTCCTGTTCAAAAGACCGTGGAGGAGTGTGAAGGGGTCAAATTTTTTTATTTCACGAAATTTCACAAAATTAAGTATAGTGTGGTGAAATATACAAAAACAATATTTTTACAAAGATTTTCTAAAAAGAAATATTTAAAAAATAATCTCATTCATTTGAATATGTACACATTTTTTCCGGTTTGCGACCCGGAAAGAAATGAATATGCAACAGAAATCAAAGGAAATGATAAATAAATAAATATATAAATAATAATAATAATAATAATAATTATATCAGTTGCTTTATAGTGCAGGGTTAAACGCTGAAACTGAAGGTTTTGACTTGCTTCACTGAAACTGAAGATTTTAACTTGCTGCACTTTAACTTGCTAAGTAGAAATTACCAAGAACACATACTGTTAGTCCAAAATACAGATTCTGTGATAAATATCCAGAAACAATTCACCATCTTGTATCACGCTGCGTGGTATTGGCACCTACTGAATATAAAATACGTCTTGACAGAGTGAACCAATATCTGAACTGGAAAATCTGCAATGCTTACGAAAAGGAACCTGCAAGAATTTGGAATGAACACCACGCAGACCTGGTTACATAGATAGAACCTGTAACAATTTTATGGGACTTTACAATACACACAGGCAGAACAATCAAAGCTAATCACACAGACATCGTGATTAGAGACCGCAAAGACAAAATGTGCTTCCTTATTGACATGGAGGTCCCTGTAGACTGCAATGTACCTTTGAAGATCTCCAAAAAACTATCAAAATACATGAACGTTGAAATGGAAATCTCAGAATTGTGTCACATGAGGACATTAACAATTACAGCTGTAGTTAGAACCCTCGGATTGATTGGGAAAAGATTCCAATAGACTCATTGAAGGAATCACTGGTAGCCCATGTCCTAAAGAAATAAAAGAATTGTACTCAAAAGTACAGCCCACACCTTACGAAGGGCTTTATCTATGTAAAATATATTGCGATTTTTTTTCCAAACTGCTCAGTGGGAAATATCATGATGTTATTTCTGACCTTAGGTCTCTGGTTGGGACCCGGAAGGAAATGTATACAATAAAACACAAAAGAAATAATAATAATAATAATAATAATAATATTGTAACATGCAACCAAGGAATTTGAAAAACTATCAAAATACAAAGACTGGAAATTGAAATAGAAAAAAAAATGAAATTGAAAACAACAATAATACCATAATGCAATGGAATTATAAAAAATGGAACAAAACAACACATTGAAAAGAATGGAAAATAAGAGACATACAGAAAATTGTCTTATTAAGTACAGCACACCTAAGGAGAAATGTAAAAGCAACTTCATCGGAGATAAAAAAAAAAAAAAAAAAATTAACATGAAATGTGCTATAACAACACACCACGACCTGCCTTAGGTCTTTCCGCAGACAAAAACAGAAATCAATGGAATTAAACCTAATAAAACCAACGGAATTAATAATAATACCATCACGAAAGCAATTTAAAGACTAACCTCATAAGATCGGACAGGAAATTCTTTCAAAATGTTTAGCTATTATATTTGGCTACATATTAAAAAAGGTATAACATCACTCTCTACCAGTCAGAGACTATTAAGTCAATCTTTTTTTGGATTTCCTGTTGACTGGCATATAAATGTTAATAGAGCAGACTTAGTGATTAAAGTCTACAAATAGAAAAATATCGTAGTGCCATCAGGTGAAAATATATTTGTGTTAGAATATATGACAAAGTAAGTAGATATATGGATCTTGAACTTAAAATCTAAAATATGTAGCATTGTCTAAACAATAATAATTGCAATCCTGGATAAGATCAAGAAAGGTACAAGAAGATGGATTAACAACACCCTTCTTGCACTTGTTTTCCAGAGTTTTTTTTTTCTTTGTCTTTTATTGCACCTCGCGGAATTACTCATCTATGCTGGTAGGTATTATCAGTGTAAAGAAAATAGAAACCTTCTACATGATAAGTATCGCTTAACATCAGAATCTGTGCAAACAGAAAAGATCAGTCAGTTATGTCCATGCGAGATACACGCGTAGGCGATCATGTAACTTTCGATACATGACTGACGAGGCAGAATTATTCCTCGCAGTAGCTTGCCATTTCTTTCTGCGGCAGACTAGTTCCCATTCAAGTCTATAGTGCCATCTGTTCTGTCCTGCTATTTTCCCATAATGGGAGGGGGAGGAGAAGATTCATACCTTTCCCAAGGACATTAGCACGTAAGTGAATGTAATGGACTCGACTGGAATTCGAACTCCGTTCTCCGATTCCTCAGTCCGAGTCGTGCCTCTTCAGAAAACATACTGGGTTGTAATAAAGAGAAATAATAATAATAATAATAATAAAACAACAACAGCAACACAAACAACAGCAACACAAGCAATAATAATAATAATAATAATAATAATAATAGAAAAACAAAAAAAGGAAAGAAAACGAAAACAGTATTTAATTTTTAAACCCGGCTTGCGGCTTCCTGTCTCTTATCAATGCCGATATATACACGAATTGCCGGTCGGGTTTTGGACGGATAATCCACTATTAAGAAGGCGGATAATTTTTAGACCGAATTAAGATGCCTTGTGTTATCTTGTCGGTCAATTGTAGAGATGAGATGAGGCTGAAAGACGGGGGAAACAGGAATTGAAGGGGAAAATGAGATGGGGTGGCGTGGGAGGATTTGCAGTTTAAAGAATTCCGAAATCCGAAATTGGAAATCATCTGACTTCCTGATACACACCCCTTCAGGCCCACTAACCATTCCACAGAGATTTCTTCCTTTCATTTCTCTCTCGCTGGTGAGTTCAGACCGCGATCCCATTCCAGAATTCTCTCCTTTATCATATACGCTTTATCCTCCTCCCGGGGGTTAGGATATTTAAGATTATACACCAAACATCCACTAATAAGTCTCTGCTCCATAATTATTTCACATGCCATGGGACAAATTATATATATATAATATATATATATATATATATATATATATATATATATATATATATTGTTCAGTTCAATCTGCTTAAAAAAAGATTATGAGTTGGTAACTGAAATCTACAAACTGACATTCATACAACTATATTAGCATGCATACAAATATCCCAAATAGATAGATAGATAGATAGATAGATAGATAGATACATGCATGCATATATGCATACAGGTAGATGGATAGAATGAGATAATATAAAGGAACATAGATAGATAGATAGATAGATAGATAGATAGATAGATATGAACAGAGTGAGATAAATATAAACAGAATGAGATAGATATGAACAGAGATAGATAGATATGAACAGACTGAGATAGATAGATAGATAGATAGATAGATAGATAGATAGATAGACAAACAGACAGACAGATTTTACGTCTTATTACTCTTTTGCATGTTAGTTAAAGTCAGAAAACATTCACAGATTGTAGGAATTCGTTTCGGGATAATAATCATTTACTGATACAAGACCTACTAATTAACTCCTGGTTGAAGGAAGAGGATTCACACCTTTCCCAATGGTATTTGCTCGTGACTATAATGAGCACAACTTGAATTGCAAATCGGGGAGACGAGTTCCGAACTATTATCCATTGCGCCACTCGCGCCACTCGCACACCTGGTATTCTCAAGCGGTCACCCATCTATGTACTGACAAGGTTCGACGTTACTTAACTTCAGTGATCGTACGAGAACCGATGTTTCAAAATGATATGGGCGTAAAACTGGTAAATAAATAGATAATGAAATCAGATTATAATTAGACAGGCAGATAGATAGATAGAGATAGATAGATAGATAGATAGATGGCCTGAGCTTCCTTTGGATATAGAAACTTATATGATAATCGAAATCCTTACTATCGCACTATAGTAGGCACACTAGTGTATCTAATAATGTTAACTCTGTCTAATGTACAATAGTAATGTGCCTAGTAAGGATTGAACCGACTATCTTGATAACCATTATTCCTTTGGAAAATTTCTCTCTCTCTCTCTCTCTCTCTCTCTCTCTCTCTCTATATATATATATATATATATATATATATATATATATATATATATTTTTATATCATCATCGAATGACTTTAGTCAATGCAAGATACACGAATACCACAGCTCCCTCCAAAGAATGATGGTCATACACCCATAATTACGTGGGATACAATAGTTTAAACCAATTCTTACAATGGAAAAGCCGATAGAACTAATTTATGTCTTATAGAAAAATAGTCGAAACACACAAATAACTCTTACTTATCAATCAAGAGAAATGAATTTTTGGTCATTTGTAGGCATAAAAATAAATACTTGTTGAAATACGTTGATCCAAATTTCTATTGCAGATTATAACCTTACTTTTTTTAACTTCCTTTTGTTTACTTATCTTCTGTCGTAGAAATATAATTTTTTATATGAATGTCTTCTATTTGCTCTTCATTTTGTCTATTTTTATATATGCCATGATAAATCTTTAAATAGTTATAGGTACGTTTATTCTAAATGCAAAATTTTTAAGAAAATCATTAATCTCCGTTTATTTTAAATATAACATATAAATCCCGTTTATTTTAAATACAGTTACAATAATCCCCATATAATATATGGACTGCGCCAACATTGCCTTAACGAATTATATTAATTGAAATTGAAATTATGCAACGGTGAGTCTTTATTCAGTACCTGAAGAACGTATATTTATGCTGTGGTCTTGTTAGGGCCAAAAATAAAGACACAAAGAGAAGAATTAAGGGTTAACAAATATATTCACAGAAAAAAAGGTATTACAATCATATACAAACGAGCAAGAAAGTTAAGTATGACTGTCAGAGCTGACTACTGGAAACTGCACTATCTAAAAAGCAGTATCTGCTCTTATTTGTAACTGGGAGAATCCATCTGCGCTTGGGTAAATTACCATAACACCCCCACTTCTAAGTTTTAATTACACAGGTGTCTCAATATCTTAGTCAATATGATAAATATATATAAAATTATAATATTATTGCTGCTATATATGCTCTGGAGCCCCTTCTGTTTGTCTGAAGGTCCTTGATAAAATCCAAAGACGGATATGCAATGTAAATGGCCTCGATCTGGCATCTCTTCTGCAGTCGCTCACTCACAGACCTGCCATTGCCTCCCTCTGTCTTCTTTTACAAATACTTTCACGGTAACTACTCCGATGAGCTGCTTTCGCTGGTTCCCAGACTTCATGAATTTAAGCGTTCATCTAGGCTGGCATCTCGCTCTCACCCTTTCAATGTCGAAACTGTTAAATACAGCCGGCTCTTCTACTCCAATAGCTTCATGTCTCACACTTCTCAGCTGTGAAACTCCCTCCCCATTCCTTGTTTTCCTGATAGCTATAATTTCCAACTATTCAAACGTAATGTCAATCAACGTCTCCAGATGCCCTTATCTAACCTTCTCTTCATACTTTCCTCTATCACTCCTCTTTGCTCTCGCTCGAACTCTCTGTAACCCCTTTCATGCTAGTGGATTCCCGCCTTGCTTGGGGTGGAATGCTTAAAAATATATTGTATGTATGTGGGTTACCTAGATACAGCTTAAAGGCTACATAATACCACAACTAATTTTGGTGCGTATTTTTCCTTGAACCCCCAACCCTGAGTGCAGTGACAAATTTCATTATATGAAAAACACCGCTAAGATCATAATTCATGTCATAGCTGTGTCTTTAAAACCCAGTAATTTTAAAAGTTACTCCAAAAATTCGCTTGAGGATGAAATGGAACTAATGTCTTTAATTTAATTACAAAATTAAATTCGTAGCTTTTAGCTTCCATTTTTGAAACACGGTTAGAACTGTGTAGCGAAAAAAAACATGTTTTAAATAAATCAATTTAAAATATTATATATATATATATATATATATATATATATAACATAATCATATTTTATATCACATTAAGTAAGTGGTTATATAGTTCATTTATATCAATGTCATATAAATTCTTTGATATCTGTCGACTTTGCAACCTCAGAATACTGTGAAACATATGGAAACCTGCCACAATGTCTAGACACTAAGACTTGATGCGTGTAATCTCAGTTGGGGAGATGCTGAATTTTAATTAAATTAATAAATAAGATCGTAGCTAGACAGATTAAACATAAATCTTATAGGAATAAAAGCTGCCAACTCAATATACAACAGGCAAGGAGTTTTTGATTTCTTTCACTCGATACAGAAATGCCTGAAGCAAAAATAAAGGAAGAGCGACTTTTTATGATGATTTTATCTTCACTGTCGCCCCAAAGTAAAATGGTTATTACTTCCCTCTGAATATATTTGCTTCAGGAATTATTAAAAACCTTCAATTAATTAATCCTAGGGAAACTTACACAAAAACCTATCTTCTTTAGAATAGAACGTTAGGAAAATTAAATCATATGTGCTCCAATATTTGATTATTCGACTAATTCTAGAAAACCTACATATATATATATATATATATATATATATATATATATATATATATATATATATGTGTGTGTGTGTGTGTGTGTGTGCGTATGTGTGTGTGAGTGTGTATATATATATAAATATATATATATGTATGTATATTTGTATATATATATATATATGTATGTGTATATATATATATATATATATATATATATATATATATATATATATATATATATATATATGAAGTAGGATTTGATATTATAGAACATGAACGCTCATTTGAAAAAAGGACAACGGCATTCGGCTAAAGGTAGACATTGGTATAAATCTGAAATCTTGCAAAATAAATAACAGTCAATCGCAAAAATGAATTATATTCAATGAAGAAAGGAAGTTTGGAAAACAAATCAATTTAATAGTTTGATTAATATTATATTATAATATTTATAACATGTATATTATAATATTTATATGATTAACATTATATATATATATATATATATATATATATATATGCATACATATTTTACATATATATATATATATATATATATGTGTGTGTGTGTGTGTGTGTGTGTGTGTGTCGGCCAGTCCAAGATGGATTCAGAAGACTACAACTGCTACCCACAAAAGACAATAGTTAGAATATTTCTACATAGGAAGAAAAATTAATTCCTTTAAATAATATGTGGAAATAACCATTCTTCGCATGATGAAGGTCACAAGTCCCAAAAATTGTATAGCGAAATATATAGAATATAGCATATATAGAACATAGCCATTATCATCAAAAACGTTTGCTGATTTTTCTTTCATTCCCTTTAAAATATTAAAAATAAAAAACAATTCCAATAGATGGTGAGAGGGGGAAAAGTTTCACGCCTAGCTTCCCCAAACATATATATATATATATATATATATATATATATATATATATGTATATATATGTGCGTGTGAAAATTTGCACTATACCCCCTATATATATATATATATATATATATATATATATATATATATATATATATATATATATATAATTTAAATAAAAACAGAAACTTTAAGGCTGCTCTGGATTTACATTGAGCTCTCTGGATTTTATCCTCCTTATATTTACCCATACGGATTACCTAGTTTTTCATGAACTACATATATATATATATATATATATATATATATATATATATATATATATATATATATATATATGCGTGTGTGTGTGTATGAAAGCGATACAAAAACGTGGGAAATTTCTTAACGACGCGTTTCGTAGGAGTGTGCTCTCTTTGCCATCCTCAGGTTAGAATAAAACAAAACTTTATATGATGGGGACACATATACATTTATACGTGTGCACAGTTATACATATATTACAAACAGTTGTATGTTTGTATATATGTGTACAAGTATGCATATAAAAAAAAGCTCTGCAATATGTATATTCGTGTTTTATGTATGTATATGTATGCACAGATATATATGAATGGGCACGTATATGTCAGCATGTATATGTGTACATATGTCTACAAGTATGCATAAGAAAGCACTCAAATATATGTATATGTCTGGATAGGTGTGCATATTTTTTAAGCATTTCACCTCAAGCAAGACGGGAGTGCCACTAGTACGTAAGGGACTACAGAGTGTGTAAGTAAGGGAAACAAATGGATAAAGCGGGGAAAGGAGAAAAAGCAGGGGAGGATAAAAGAAAAACCGGATCAAAGCAATAGAATATGCCGATTGACATTTCATTTAAATTTTTGAAGATTATAGTTAGCAGGGAAGCAAGTAAGAGGAAGGGAGTTTCCCTGTCGGGAAGTGCGTGAGAAGAAGCTGTTGGAGTAGAAGAGGCGGTTACACATAACTGTTTCGAGAGTAAAAGTGTGGGACCGAGATGCCAACCTGGTAGCACGCTTAAATTCATGCGATCAGGGCACCAGTGAAAATGGCTCGTCAGGGCAGATGCCTTGAAAATATTTATAAAAAAAAGACAGAGGGAAGCCACATGACGTCGGTGAGAAAGTAACTGGAGTGGAGACCCCAAGTCAGGACCGATCATATTGCATATCCGTCTTTGGAGTTTTTTTTTTTTTTTTTTTTTTTGAGAGCCTCGAGATGAACAGCGGGGGTACCAGACCATATATGGCAACAGTATTCCATTCATGGTCGAATAGAAGATTTGTCACTGTAAATGATGGACTCACGCGAGAAAAACCTTCTGGTGCGATAAGGGAGAGAACCAACTTTCCTTGCAGTAGATGTAGCTATTGATTCAATGTTGTTACATTTCAGGTTAGTGGAAAACGCCAGAGTAAGACGGCGCAGTAAGGCACTCGCGTGGAGTTGAGTATCAATCCTGCTGATAGGAAGCAGGGAAATTTATCTATG